CCCTACTCTCCCTCCGTCGCCTCTTAACCAGACTCCCCTTTCCTATTCATTCCTCTCGTCCCATACGATCTGCCTCGCCATTTCTCTGCTGTCCCGCCAGTAATGTTCCCAACCATTCTCTTCTCCCTCGCCCTCCTCCAAGAATTATTTGTCCACTTTTCCTTCTCCCGTTACACGCTCTCTCTCATACTCTTATCATTAATGCTTCATATTTGGATACAGTTCGTGAGCTGAAAAATTGCGATAACCAAAATGGTTATCGATCTAGATAGGTTATGCGGGGTCAGTATAGGTTATGACGCTCTAGGCACGAGAAAAGTATCAACACAAATGAACAAATCCACAAGGGCCGTGACGAGGATTCGAACCTTGTATGTCCTTGCTCCTGACGAGGAGTCCCGTACTCCTCGTCACGGCCCTTGTGGATTTGTTCATTTGATGCATCACGTTAGTGTGATCTCTGTGTGTGTGTATCAACACAATCTTTAAGCATGGTATGAATGGGGCGGTATCATTATCATTCATTTCCTCCATCACCCGACACCTGCTCCATCACCTAACATCCGCGGCTCCAGCACTGAGTTCATACCTTGTCAAGCCTCTCCTTTCCCCAGCGTGTCTGGAGGCCGCATGTTTCTGGCTCTTCATCAGTCCTTCAACAATTAATACGTATTTGAGTGACGTGGCCTCTGTGGCGGAAGCCTTGCTTGACAGTTAGAACATTCGCCACAGCGGGACAACAAATCAAAATTAATGCAGCAATACAGAAATCAAAAGACAAATCAAACGCTAATCCAGCTTTACTTTTGTGACAAAATATCCATCTTAGTTCCTCAGGGGTATTACGGTTTTAATTTAATTTTCATATTTTTTTTTTTTTTACATGAGAACGGAATAGCCGTCTGCTGACTCTTGTCAGCAGGAGAGCTTTACCTTCGTGCATTTAATTTCCGGCACCTTCACTAACGTCAATCACCTGCAGAACAAATTTAGAAATGTTCACCCAAGTTTAGTTTTTTCCTAATAATGACTCGTTCCAAAATAGTTTCCTGTGTTGTCTCGCCCGCCCTTGAACCATGTGTCTAAATCGCCAGTTTTATGTATCCTGATGTCACTGTGTATTTTACCCTGGTCTTAAATTGGAGTTTTTGCAAGGCATCAACATCACACCTCTCCACTCTATCGCCCACCAACATTTATGTCAAGAAACAAAGTCTTGAGGATCAATTCACATTCCTGGTGATTAAATTGTCCAGATTAAAACAACTACTGCTGTCAATCTTGTTCGATGCAACGACCCTTCTGAAGCATCTTAATGATATGACAGTCAACATTCATTAATATCTGCCTGTCACTGCGGTAAGACACACCCACACTGGTGGCCTGGGAGCCAATATACACACACCAGCACACTGGCTCAACAGGTGTTTACCTTGCCACCTTAGTGGACATACCGCCAGGGAATGCGAAGGGAGACGGCGCCGACTCATTCAAGCTTCTATTTACATACCCAGATCCGGTACACGCCCACCGCCCGCCCCAGGACCCTACGCTGCTGTTTGCATGCCCCCGACGACCTGGGGCGCTGGTGTTCAGTGCCTAATATTCATTCATTTACCCATTCATTATTTTACACAATTTATATCAATAGAAACCAAAATACTGGCAGAGGCATATAGCACGAGTCAGCTTCATATGCTAATAGTACGTCAAGGTCTATGCTAACTTGAGCCGTGTTGGTCCTCCAGGCCCGTTACCACACGACCCTCTGCTGGTGGGCGCAGCCACAAGGTTTATGCTGCCACTGTTTGTCTTGGGTGTGCAGTGTGTGTTCTGGGTGTACAGCATATGTGTCTTGGTGTATGTGTGTGTGTTTCAGGTGTATATTGTGTTCCTCGTAGTGTGTTCTGGGTGTACAGCATATGTGTCTTGGTGTATGTGTGTGTGTTTCAGGTGTATATTGTGTTCCTCGTAGTGTGTTCTGGGTGTACAGCATATGTCTCTTGGTGTGTTTCGGGTGTGTGCCTCGTAGTGTGTTCTAGGTGTAAAGAGCGTGTTTCGTAGAGTGTATTCTTGGAGTACAGTGTCTCAAGGTATGCGGGTGTTCTCGTTATGCATGTGTGATCAAGGAGTACAGGGAGTATTGAGGTGTTTGAGGCATGTGTGAATAGTGTCTCGTCTCGTTGTATGCGTGTTCTGGGTGTATAAAATGTGTTGTCGAGTGCTTCTGTATAGACGCACATATTTGCAGTGTCTTGTAACTCCAACTTTCTATTGTGCACTGCCACACAAGGGCAAGAATGAATTCATAAGAGATGCAGCTTACAAATAAAATACAATTGTTCTTCATTCTTCAAAATTGTTCTTCAAAAGCAAATTTAGGTTAAATTGTATTATTTTTTTTATTGCAGGGATACTAGTGGGCTGACCCACTTAGAGTTACTTGTTTTGCTTTACTTAGGCAGAGTATAAGTATTTATGACTCGTATGGTCGCTTCAGTAAGATTTTGCCCCATGTACAACATGGGGAAAAATGTTGAATCTAAGTTGAAATCTTGTTGGGTTCGCAACTTTGCACTGTGTTAGATAATGTTCCAGTGGTGTGTCGGGCATAGAATATCGTCCAGTACACCTGTTTCATTGAATCTGGTGTACTGGACGACATCCTAACAATTTATCCTACGTTTGCTTGTCCATTTTAAAGAATGAAAACAATTGTATTTATTTTTATGCTGTATCTCTAACGAATCCATCACTGTCCCGTGTGTGGCAGGAGACAATAGAAAGTTGTATTTACAAATTCGTAAACTGAAATGTGTATAGTCTAGTGTAGTTGATTGCAACCATGATATATACATTATGTGTTTCAGCCTACAGTATACACCTAGGTCTTGTGTATGTCCTCTGTCCTGTGTGACAGTGAATACCAGCATCATCCTCACTCTAGTAAGATCTAATTGAATTACTCAGATTAGGCAAAATTTTAATTTTGTCAATAAAAGACAATAAAAACAATAATAATGCTTCATACAGACCAACACAATTCGAGGGAATTGTGTTGGTCTTCTCCTCACTAAAATGTCTTTGGAGTCGAGTTCCTCTGTAACCTCTCACACTACCACTCACAGGATGGGTTATGGGGGTGCTAATCAAGTTCAAGTATGTCTATTGAGACAAGAAAGAAATACATCTCAAAGGGACAGAATAGCTTAGGCTATTTCTACCCCCCAACTGGTGCTAATAAATGTACTAAAGTCAAACAAAGACAAATGGGCGATTATCCCCCCATGTGGCATAGTCCAAACCTTTCTACTCCACGGGGAAGGGGGTGAGGTTGGCAGCCAGCCACTGGTGTGGTGGACCTGAGAGGGCAGAAGACTGGGGTCAGGACGGGTCAGTCGCAGTTCCGGTTCACTCCGTCTCCCTCCCCGTACCTAGGACGGGGGGATAGGAGGGATGGATATGGTGGGGCGGGGGGGAGAAGAGATGGAGTGGGATGAGGAAAGAACACTTTTTTATTATTATTTTCTACCACAGACGTGGCCACACATTTACATTGCTATCCAGCATATATTCATTTTCTTATGTTCTCCGTGTTATTAAGATAACTAAACGAACTATGGGGTTCAGTTCCTGCCCCGCTGTAACCCTCTCCACCACCGCCCACGGGATGGGTATGGGGTGCATAATAACAAAAAATGAAAAAAGATAGACTCCATCAGGTAGACAACGACAGGTAGACACCGTCAGGTAGACACGGTCAGGTAGACAGGTAAGCGCAGGTACCACCTTGTGCTTCCCTGCTCCTCACTCTCACAAATTGGATTCAGGAGATAAAAACCCGGCGACATTAGTTTGATTTTATTCTAAAGGTCACGTCAGACTGCACAGCTCCGTGACGTCATTAGGGAGATTGCTCGAGGGAAAAGCGTTGAACAACGATTACAGTTCAAGGCATTTTAATCCCGATATACCCTAAAGAGCGCGGTGTTTTCAGTGGGAGTCAAAGATAAGAAGGTTGTTAATGCTGCTAAATAAGCAAGGGTCATATTCACGAAGCAGTTACGCAAGCACTTACGAACCTGTCCATCTTTTCTCGATCTTAGGGCGGCTTTGTTTACAAATATTAAATAGTTAATGAGCTCCAAAGCACCAGGAGGCTGTTTATAACAATAACAACAGTTGATTGGGACGTTTTCATGCTTGTAAACTGTTTAATAATTGTAAACAAAGCCGGCAAAAGATTAAGGAAAGATGTACACGTTCGTAAGTACTTGCTTAACTGGTTCGTGAATCTGGCACCAGGTTATTATGCTGAGAACAAGTCACAACAACGTGGTGAAACAAATAATCCAACCCACACATAAAATGAAATTGACAACGCTTTCGGTCACTTTTGCCCTTTAAGGCGTCTTCATAACAGCCCGGGATCCAGATTAATCAAGCTTCACGTGTCCAGTTACGAAACCTGTACATCTTTCCTCAATTACGGCGGCTTAAGCTGTAATAACTCACTCACAGTTATTACTGATATATACAACCTCATAGCATTTCGAACCTCATAATTTTGTTTATAATTAATGTAAATAAAGCAGCCATGATTGAAGAAAGATATACAGGTTTCGCAAGTTACGTAAATGATGAATATATCTTGGGAAGAGCCGAAACGTCGTCACTTTCATATAATTTCAAACGTGTGGCTGAGGTCCCATTCACCTGGGCTTCAGGAGACTGAGGTTATCAGGTAATTATCCATTAACATCTACCTGAGAGAGAAAACGTGGGGGTCCAGTCATAGACACCTCGTGCCGGGGTCATGCCCCCAGGACCCCCAAAACCACCTCCCCCTCCCTCGTCGTGCTCACAGGCTCCACAGTGACAGTCTAGGAACCTCGAGAGGCCAAAGGTCAGAGGGTCATGCGAGTCAGCGACGGGTCACCACCTCAGTTAAAGAGTGCAATCTAGTTCTGAGAGCGACAAGGAACCTCGCCTCGAGGAAATTACATGTAAACCCATTCGTTCATTACTCCACTCACAAATGGAAGCTTGTAAATGCAGTGATTCTGGGTGTTTTCTAACCTGGCGGTTGAGAGGTGCCGTAACTGTAAAAACCAGGACAGGGCAGAGGGGCGTCGGCCCGGGTGTTGCGTCGGGCGGGTGTTGCGTCGGGCCGGGTGTTGCGTCGGGCGGGTGTTGCGTCGGGCCGGGTGTTGCGTCGGGCAGGGTGTTGCGTCGGGCGGGTGTTGCGTCGGGCGGGTGTTGCGTCGGGCGGGTGTTGCGTCGGGCGGGTGTTGCGTCGGGCGGGTGTTGCGTCGGGCGGGTGTTGCGTCGGCCCGGGTGTTGCGTCGGGCGGGTGTTGCGTCGGGCGGGTGTTGCGTCGGCCCGGGTGTTGCGTCGGCCCGGGTGTTGCGTCGGGCGGGTGTTGCGTCGGGCGGGTGTTGCGTCGGGCGGGTGTTGCGTCGGGCGGGTGTTGCGTCGGGCGGGTGTTGCGTCGGGCGGGTGTTGCGTCGGGCGGATGTTGCGTCGGGCGGGTGTTGCGTCGGGCGGGTGTTGCGTCGGGCGGGTGTTGCGTCGGGCGGGTGTTGCGTCGGCCCGGGTGTTGCGTCGGGCGGGTGTTGCGTCGGGCGGGTGTTGCGTCGGGCGGGTGTTGCGTCGGCCCGGGTGTTGCGTCGGGCGGGTGTTGCGTCGGGCGGGTGTTGCGTCGGGCCGGGTGTTGCGTCGGGCGGGTGTTGCGTCGGGCGGGTGTTGCGTCGGGCGGGTGTTGCGTCGGGCGGGTGTTGCGTCGGGCGGGTGTTGCGTCGGGCGGGTGTTGCGTCGGGCGGGTGTTGCGTCGGGCGGGTGTTGCGTCGGGCGGGTGTTGCGTCGGGCGGGTGTTGCGTCGGGCGGGTGTTGCGTCGGGCGGGTGTTGCGTCGGGCGGGTGTTGCGTCGGGCGGGTGTTGCGTCGGGCGGGTGTTGCGTCGGGCGGGTGTTGCGTCGGGCGGGTGTTGCGTCGGGCGGGTGTTGCGTCGGGCGGGTGTTGCGTCGGGCGGGTGTTGCGTCGGGCGGGTGTTGCGTCGGGCGGGTGTTGCGTCGGGCGGGTGTTGCGTCGGGCGGGTGTTGCGTCGGGCGGGTGTTGCGTCGGGCGGGTGTTGCGTCGGGCGGGTGTTGCGTCGGGCGGGTGTTGCGTCGGGCGGGTGTTGCGTCGGGCGGGTGTCGGGCGGGTGTTGCGTCGGGCGGGTGTTGCGTCGGGCGGGTGTTGCGTCGGGCGGGTGTTGCGTCGGTCGGGCGGGTGTTGCGTCGGGCGGGTGTTGCGTCGGGCGGGTGTTGCGTCGGGCGGGTGTTGCGTCGGGCGGGTGTTGCGTCGGGCGGGTGTTGCGTCGGGCGGGTGTTGCGTCGGGCGGGTGTTGCGTCGGGCGGGTGTTGCGTCGGGCGGGTGTTGCGTCGGGCGGGTGTTGCGTCGGGCGGGTGTGCGTCGGGCGGGTGTTGCGTCGGGCGGGTGTTGCGTCGGGCGGGTGTTGCGTCGGGCGGGTGTTGCGTCGGGCGGGTGTTGCGTCGGGCGGGTGTTGCGTCGGGCGGGTGTTGCGTCGGGCGGGTGTTGCGTCGGGCGGGTGTTGCGTCGGGCGGGTGTTGCGTCGGGCGGGTGTTGCGTCGGGCGGGTGTTGCGTCGGGCGGGTGTTGCGTCGGGCGGGTGTTGCGTCGGGCGGGTGTTGCGTCGGGCGGGTGTTGCGTCGGGCGGGTGTTGCGTCGGGCGGGTGTTGCGTCGGGCGGGTGTTGCGTCGGGCGGGTGTTGCGTCGGGCGGGTGTTGCGTCGGGCGGGTGTTGCGTCGGGCGGGTGTTGCGTCGGGCGGGTGTTGCGTCGGGCGGGTGTTGCGTCGGGCGGGTTAGACAAGAAACACTCCACCACCAACACAAAGTGGTGTAATAATTTAGGAATAAATATCCAAGAATGATTCGCTCTCAGCCGCTTCCTCTCGACACGCGAACATGCTGGAAAGAGGCACAGAGAGGGAGTGTGAGAGGAGAGAGAGAGAGGGTGAGAGGAGAGAGACGGGGTGAGAGGAGAGAGAGGGGGTGAGAGGAGAGAGAGAGAGGGTGAGAGGAGAGAGACGGGGTGAGAGGAGAGAGAGAGAGGGTGAGAGGAGAGAGACGGGGTGAGAGGAGAGAGAGGGGGTGAGAGGAGAGAGAGAGAGGGTGAGAGGAGAGAGACGGGGTGAGAGGAGAGAGAGGGGGTGAGAGGAGAGAGACGGGGTGAGAGGAGAGAGAGAGAGGGTGAGAGGAGAGAGACGGGGTGAGAGGAGAGAGAGGGGGTGAGAGGAGAGAGACGGGGTGAGAGGAGAGAGAGGGAGTGAGAGGAGAGAGAGGGGGTGAGAGGAGAGAGAGAGGGGTGAGAGGATAGAGAGGGGGTTGAGAGGAGAGAGAGGGGGTGAGAGGAGAGAGACGGGGGGTGAGAGGAGAGAGACGGGGTGAGAGGAGAGAGAGAGGGGTGAGAGGAGAGAGACGGGGTGAGAGGAGAGAGAGGGGTGAGAGGAGAGAGAGGGGGTGAGAGGAGAGAGACGGGGTGAGAGGAGAGAGAGGGAGTGAGAGGAGAGAGAGGGGGTGAGAGGAGAGAGAGAGGGGTGAGAGGATAGAGAGGGGTTGAGAGGAGAGAGAGGGGGTGAGAGGAGAGAGAGAGGGGTGAGAGGATAGAGAGGGGTTGAGAGGAGAGAGAGGGGTTGAGAGGAGAGAGAGAGAGGGTGAGAGGAGAGAGACGAGGGTGAGAGGAGAGAGGGGAGGGAGAGAGGGAGGGAGGTGTGTGTGTGGGAGGGAGGACGAAGGGGAAGGGGGGGAGAAGAGAGAGAGAGAGAGGGGTAGGAGAATGCAGGGTCCACCAGTCACAGATGCCATTCACCCCGTGACATTATCAAACGTCCCGCGGCGCGTCTGCTAACCTTATGTTTACCTCGGAGTGTCCCGCTCCAGGGTGTCCCACTCAAGGATGTCCCACTCCAGGATGTCCCACTCCAGGATGTCCCACTCCAGGATGTCCCACTACAGGATGTCCCACTACAGGATGTCCCACTACATCCCACTCCAGGATGTCCCACTACAGGATGTCCCACTACAGGATGTCCCACTCCAGGATGTCCCACTACAGGATGTCCCACTCTACGATGCCCCACGCTAGAGTGCCTCACTCTAGGATATCTTGGAACCTTCAAATACAAAGTGAAAATAAAAATGTGAAAATATATATAATGAAGAAAGCCATATATGAAAATTTTGCCGTACAATTATATCAAAATTCACCATTGATTTGATATCTTTTTTTTTATTGTTGCTGCCGGAGGCGGCTAGTTTATTGTGCACCCCATACTCATCCTGTGAGCGGTAGCGCAAAAAGGATTACAGAGGGCACAAAAGGTCTTTATCAGACGTCAAAAAGATTATTACATTAACAATTTCAGCTATTCTTCACACCTTATAATTACAATGTCAGCTAGTTACAGAGAATGTTCTATTTCAAGGGGGGCGAGCGAGAGCTAAAGTCCCCCCTCGCACCCAATACCAGTGACGTCACCCAATACCCGCACCCAATACACCAATACCAATACACGCACCCAATACCAGTGACGTCCATACGTCAGGCTGCGAGCAGCCGCGTCTAACAGCCTGGTTGATCAGTCCAGCAACCAGGAGGCCTGGTCGACGACCGGGCCGCGGGGACACTAAGCCCCGGAAGCACCTCAAGGTAGACGTAGAAATATGTACAAACCGATATACTCGGCCTGAAGTTGTGTTTTAACTGTTTTACCTTGCGAAAGGAAATATAAAACAAACATCTGTTCAATTCTGGTGTTATTGACAAATGTTTCACGATTAACAACATCACCTTTTGAATTAATACAAAATCAAAAGAAACACGAAAATAGAGCATGAAAATGTTTTTTGGCTATATTTTTAAAACGCATTTCTCCCTTCAAGTTTCAATACGATTAGCTAAGCAATGAGGATTTGATGAAGGTTCAGATATTTTCTCTTAAAACACAAGATGGAAACCTTAAGATTTCCCTTAATAATGTTTGTGAGCGTTGTAGAGCTTCTATAAACACCATACCAGCGGTGTTTGTAGAAGCTCTACAAACTTCAAACTCTACAAACTACAAACAAACGGTGTTTGTAGACGTTCTAAGATGATTGTTGATACACCACCACCACCAGTAACATACCCAGCCATACATTACCACTACCAATAACAAATACCTCCCCTTCCATTTGCAACAAATACATCTCTGTATAACGCCATTGTTTGTTGTGATTTCACAACTTAACATACACAATTACTACACACTGCCACTACGCCAACCCGTTCTCGCACTTTCGTATAGTCAATATTGACTTATTAAATACGTGCATATGTGACATACTAATTTATTGTGACTATTTTAGTTTACCTTGAAAAGCTTCATAGAAAACACCGACCTTACCTAACCGTCTTAGTATGTTAAGATAAGCATCTTATTGCTTCGTAATTACAATTATTACTTAACCTATTATAGGTATAGGTTAAGTAATAATTGTAATTACGAAGCAATAAGATGCTTATTGCATCTTATTGCTTAACACTACACATTTCAACGTGGTCTCAACACTACCACATTTCGTCAACACCCACCAACCACACCAACACCATACCAGGTCCACAAACACACTTTGCCCAACTGGTGCTGCACAAACCAATTTTCGTGTTGCAGGCGCTGCAGGGCCTGAGGGGTGGGGTGGCACGCCCTCTCTCAGCGTCGCAGGCACCGCCTTTGATGCCAGGTGGCGCCCTCTGGCTCAGACGCCCTCCTTCAGGCAGCTCGCAAGACTCACAACTCAAATTAACTTGAGCAAGACACAACAAATAAGGATGTGTGTGAGCGGTTGAGTGTGTGCGTGAGCTTACCCATGTCTACGAGGGGCAGGTCAAGCTCTTGGACCCCGACTCTTAGCTATCCGATACCTAAATTAGTTTAATAACATGAATGTTAAGTTAACTATCAGGTGGTTGTAAGCATAACTAATCGCCTAAAGCAAGCTAAAGTAATGGAAAAGTAGATTAATGGCTGTTAGTAACTATAACACTTAGTATAACACTAGTGAGACTACAGGTTGGTGGTGATGGGATAGCACGGCTTGTCCTCGGAACTACTCGTGTTCAAGTCCACTCGGGTTCAAGTCCACTCGTGCTCAAGTCCACTCGTGTTCTAGTCCACTCGTGTTCTAGTCCACTCGTGTTCAAGTCCACTCGTGTTCTAGTCCACTCGTGTTCTAGTCCACTCGTGTTCAAATCCACTCTTATTCATAGTCTGCGCGAAAATTTTCAGATATTTATAGCACGATTTTTAAAAATGTTTTATACTGCTAGTTTTTCCCCCCGAGATCTAACAGAATTTTGAATACTTTTTAGATATTTTCAATATTATGTGTCAGTTATATGTAGCTTTTATATATAAAAGTTTTGATACAAAAAATAAATTTAATTATGAACGAACCATTAAAATGAAAGTTAATATATATTAATATTTCAATATAAAATTTTCAGTTGGTAATTAGTGATAAATTTGTTTATTAGTTTTTAATTTGAACTTTAGTTCGTATTATTTTTACCCAAATTATATTTATATACAGTTTTCAGTCATTTATATTTTGCATATTACCTACTGTATTTGTACTGGGTTTCGACCCATTGTTCAGATATGATCAATGCCAGAACAGAACAGATAAAATGTACACCTTGACTAGTAGAATACTTAAAGAATAAACTTTGTAAGATAAGAAGAGCAGGAAGGGTTAAATTCTGTCTCGTCTAAATGCGTTGACTATATTATCATCATGCAGGATGAATAGGCTGTATAATTCTATAGAGAGTTAAAAAGCATTTGATACAGTCTTTCAACAATATAGATCTGTGCATACTAGATACAAGCATCTGGGATGACTGGCGGTATAGGGTGAGAGAAAGCACCTCACCTTTCACTATTGGGTGAGAGAAAGCTTAATACTTACAGACAGGAAGGTCTCAAAACGAACAGAAATAACAAATGGGATCTCAGAATGGTCAGTTCTCGTTCCTGGTGATTTAATGACGTGAATAATAACACAGGATGACTGCAAAATACTACTTAAAAAATTGAACAAGCTACATGAATGATCCGATGATACATGGAATTAATTTATAATAAATGGAAGGTAATGCAGATTAACTTTTCATGTCATTAGCAGAGTAATAAATAGAGTTAAACTGGAAGAGACCCCAACGTCCTGTGGGTCGACAGGACCAGATGTATTATTGCCGGAAGAGGGGCCTCACAGAACTAAACTGTTCTTTGGATTATGAACATACAATTCTCCATACTACGTAAAGGAGGAGTTCAAAGAGGAGTTGAACACACTACGTTTAAAGAGGAGGTTATAAGATGAGAACACGAGAAAGAAGAAGGAGAAATAAAAAAAAATTAACACCAAAAATACAAGCAGTTTCAAGAATCAAAGATACCTTTGATAACAAAGATACGCACCTTTAGGCGAGCACAACATTAAACCTATCACCAGAATAAAACACAAACCAGGTAACATCAGCGGCACATGCGAGGCGGCGCCCAGGAGTTGGAATTCAGCTCCAGCAATCACAACTATGTAAGCACACACTTTTACTTTTGCATTAAAACCGCCCGAAGGCTCAGCAAGAGTCTTCTAGGGTACTAGAAAAGTCGAAAGTTATAGGTAGATGGTTGAGAAAGAGGCGAAAGATGAGAGGATAGTGAGGAAGAGAAAGGGAGAGAATAGTGAGGATAGTGAAGGAAGAGGAGAATAACAAAAGAGAGGGAGAACAGTGAGGTATGGTGGGGATAATGACGCATGGTATGGGGAGGGAGCGGAAGGATAGTGAGAAGAGGGGGAAGATTGTGAGGATAGTGAGGGAAGGGGAGGATAATGAGGGGAGAGGAAGATTGCGAGGAAGGGGAGGAGGACACTGAGAAGAGCGTAATAATATCCCGCCCCTCCCTCATAAACATCACAACACGTTTCATAAAGGCGAGCAAGACATGAGTACTGGAGATCTACCACTTCCATACCCACGCACGCACGTACCTATGTACGCACGCACACATGTACGTACCTACATACGCACGAATACGCAAATGTGCACATACGCGCACACAATGTATTTACTGAATATAAAAGGCGGGATTTTCCTCAGTCTGTCTTGTGCTTTTAAATACTTGACCCGCCTTCCTTGTTACTTATACAGACCTCCTTGTGTTCGTCGTGTTGACATCCAGACACGTGCTCGTGTAGGTGGGCGATAATACCCATGCCCAAGACCAGGTACAGTGTACCCATGCCCAAGACCAGGTACAGTGTAGGTGGGCGATAATACCCATGCCCAAGACCAGGTACAGTGTAGGTGGGCGATAATGCCCATGCCCAAGACCAGGTACAGTGTAGGTGGGCGATAATACCCCTGTCCAAGACCAGGTACAGTGTGGGTGGGTGATAGTACCCCTGCCCAAGACCAGGTACAGTGTGGGTGGGTGATAATACCCATGCCCAAGACCAGGTACAATGTGAGTGGGTGATAATACCCCTGCCCAAGACCATGTACAGTGTGGGTGATAATACCCATGCCCAAGACCAGGTACAGTGTAGGTGGGCGATAATACCCCTGCCCAAGACCAGGTACAGTGTGGGTGGGAGATAATGTCCCTGCCCAAGACCAGGTACAGTGTGGGTGGGTGATAATACCCCTGCCCAAGACCATGTACAGTGTGGGTGATAATACCCATGCCCAAGACCAGGTACAGTGTAGGTGGGCGATACCTACATACCCATGCCCAAGACCAGGTACAGTGTAGGTGTAAATTTCCAACTAACCCAATAACCATTATATTATTGCGATATATGAAGAAAAATCACACAGAAAATAAAAAGTTTATACAAAAAATAATGGCAACAATAATAACAATTTGTCCATATGTTAAAGTTATTATATCTTTGTGTGTCTGCTATCAACAATAGGTTACCAGCTGTTCTTACATGTCTGTATCTGCTTTAATTTATAATTTTGCCCCAAAGGGATGAACTTATTGAACAGGGGCACTTATCCTGCGAGTGCTCGTAATACTGACGCAGCACATACAACACTCTCCACCAATAAACCTTGCTGGAATGTTATCTGATTCTAACTATGTGCAACTAAGTCACTCAACTGCACCAAGTGAAAATTGGGGAAATATTTTCCAGAACAATGTTTAAATTTAACAGAAAATGGCGTCCTTGCTAAAGCATTATATGGTTTTAATATAAAACCGAGTTCTGCTTCTCCTAAGTGGAGCGCAGTTTCTCCAGCAGCGTTCCAGACAGTCTCTCCTGCAGCGTTCCAGACAGTCTCTCCAGCAGCGTTCCAGACAGTCTCTCCTGTAGCGTTCCAGACAGTCTCTCCAGCAGCGTTCCAGACAGTCTCTCCAGCAGCGTTCCAGTCTCTCCAGCAGCGTTTCAGTCTCTCCAGCAGCGTTCCAGACAGTCTCTCCAGCAGTGTTCCAGACAGTCTCTCCAGCAGCGTTCCAGTCTCTCCAGCAGTGTTCCAGTCTCTCCAGCAGCGTTCCAGACAGTCTCTCCAGCAGTGTTCCAGGCAGTCTCTCCAGCAGTGTTCCAGGCAGTCTCTCCAGCAGTGTTCCAGGCAGTCTCTCCAGCAGTGTTCCAGGCAGTCTCTCCAGCAGTGTTCCAGGCAGTCTCTCCAGCAGCGTTCCAGGCAGTCTCTCCAGCAGTGTTCCAGGCAGTCTCTCCAGCAGCGTTCCAGGCAGTCTCTCCAGCAGCGTTCCAGGCAGTCTCTCCAGCAGTCCAACT